TGTGGTGGCGGGCCCCGGCCGGGCGGGGCTCCCCCTCCGCCCGCTCTGCCCCCTCCTGGGCCTTGTGGGCCGGGCAGCCATTTTGGGAAGAGCTTTGTTATGGTTGTGGGCTCGTCACCTCTGCTGGTCGGAGAAGCCGGGGACGCGTTCTCAGACGCCGCGACTCGTCCTTGACCGTAGCCCCGCCGCTGCCGGGTGAGTGCGGGTGCGGGACACCGAGCAGGAGTACACCTCGAGTGGTCCCGGCACGGGCGCTGCCGGCTGCCTGGCTGGCCGTCTATGAAAACTAGTTGGAAGAAGGTCGCGCACAGGTGGTTGGGTGTGGGTCCGCCTCGGGTGGACGGCAGGAACCGGGAGTTGTCCAGGTGGAACGTCCCCCCCTCCCCCCAGCGGGAGGAGCCTTGCACAGCAGCGTCGCCGCGGCGGTTCCAGAGCGCTCCGACTTCAACTTCGGTTCTGGGTCGGAAACGCTCACCTGCGGCTCCGGCTCCGACTCCGGCTCCGGCTCCGGCTCCGGCTCATTTCCGAGAGTTCCCGCTTGGCGGTGGTGGAGTGACTTGGTTTACTCGGTTCTCTCTCTTTCCTTAAAGTAAGCGCCGAAGGCTTCTGTTTCCCAGTTGAGAGAAACTTTGCGAGGAAAAAGTCGTGTAAGTCAAATGTGGTGTATCTGGGGGAAAGGGAACTTTCAACGCCCGGAGTCCGGGTTCTCCGGGGTAGTGAGACCTTTTCTTACCGGTTACCTACCACAGTCCGTCCCATTGGGAAGGAGGGTTGGTCTTGAAGTGGTTTAACTAGTGCTTTTTTTATTCCGTGCTAAATGTCCCCAAACCATAAAGTTTAAAGTAATAATAATAATGAATCTAAAATGGCTGTAGCCTGGGGAAGTACCCTGTTGAAATGCTTGAATACTGTAACATTTCGGTCGTTTTCCCTATGGGACATTAGTTGGCCCTTTTTGCCGTTGGCCTCTTTGGAGAGGGTAGGTGAAAACAAAGGTGAGTGAGCCTGGGGAAGTTTACTTCAGAAGTTTACATAAGAATGGGCGCGGTTTTTTTGTTTTTGTTTTTTTGGTAGTGTCTAGTAGTACTGAAATTTCTGCTGTGGTACCAGTTTTGTCTGCCGCTTTTGTGCTCTGAGGTTGGCTTGTATAATCTGTTGAATAGTTTTACTTTGATATTTCTTGCTTACTAGGAAAACCTGAGGTTAGTGGCTGTTGATGTTTTGTTTACTAATAATCAGCTTTTCTCTGTAAATCTCATAAAAAACCGTGTTAGAACTCAGGAGAGCATAATTTGTAGTTTCTGGAGATCTCATGTGTTTTAAGATCGTTTTCACTTCAGGTTCCACGAAGTTTAGGTATTTATAAAATAACAATTCTGCAAGTGAAATAAATTAAAAAAGAAAAACCATTTTGCAAGTGAAAATATCTTCAGAAGTGTAATGCCCGGTGGTTGTGCCTTTAGGGGAAAAAAAAAGCAATCTTGCTGTTTGTTGCTCAAAACAAGCAAACAGAAACCCACACAGCCAGAAGTTAACAAAAACAACAGAAAATTTTAGTTTTTGGAAAGATGTGATTGAGTTGAAGTTATTTTCTATTCAAAAATTAAGATAGAATGCTAATTGTGAATGGAGCTTTAAAATCCATTCACAAGATAAACTGATCTTTTAGAGAGTTGGTTTCAATTGCTCTCATACATTCTTTTAAACTGGAAGATTTTTGTCTGTTCTTGTAGGAATTTTATTTTTTATGTGTATGGGTATTGTGCCTGAGTTATAGTGAACATGTACTCCTCTAGAACTGGAGTCAGACATTTGTGAGTTTCCATGTGGGTGCTGGGAGTCAAACCTGAGTACTCTGGAAGAGCAGCTGTCTCTTCCATCCCAGGATTCTTTATTTATTTTATTGATCTTCGAAAAAAAAATGATGTAAAGTTCTTCATGAATTACAAGCTAATTGCTTTCTGTTTTGACATTATTACTTACAGTATTTGGGAGAGACCTTACTATAAATTCACTTTTGCTTTTTTTTCTGAGGGTTCTCAAAATGGCTTGTGTTTGTTCACCCAAACATTCTTTCAGTTTATTATGGACATTATGCTTTCCGGGTTCTTGAAATTGGGAAGGAGAGATGGGAAGCCTTTATTTTGAATTTAACATTTTTTAAAATACTTATTTATTATGTGTAGAGCATGTATGACCAGCATGCCAGAAGAGGGCACCAGATCTCATTATAGATGTTTGTAAGCCACCACGGGTTACAGGGAATTGAACTCAGGACCTCTGGAAGAGCAGCCCTTACCTTTGAGCCATCTCTCGAGGCCTTAATTTAACAATTATTATCTTTGATAGTTTAAAATCCTAGTTGAAGAGGAGGGTGAATTCAACCACTCCAATAATTTGCACAGGGTGAGAAATTAAAAAAAAAAAAAAAGAAACTTTGGATTGGTGTGTGTGTGTGTGTGTGTGTGTGTGTGTGTGTGTGTGTGTGTGTGTGCGCGCGTGCGCGCGCGCGCGCATTCAAACATACATGCCTTTTTTTTTTCAGCCTCACTTTGTAGATTGGTGATTCTCAACCTTCCTAATGCTTCAGTAATTACTAATTGCTAATTAGTACTTCCTAATAAAGTTCCTCATGTCGTGGTGGCCCCAACCATAAAATTATTTTTTTGCTTCTGTTATGAATCACAGTGCAAATATGCTGGAATTAAAGGTATGTACCACCATACCTGACTACTTTTTATTTTCAAATGTGGGGAATTGAATCCAGAGTCTAGTGCTATGCTGAAAGCATACTATCACTGTGGTGTATACCACCAGTCTATAATTTATTTGTTTTTATTAGTTTAGTTTATTATTTAATGTGTATAGTGTTTTGCATGTATGTATGTATGTATGTATGTATGTATGTATGTATATGCATCACATGTATGTCTGGTCCCTTCAGAGGTCTGAGGAGAGGGCCTTGGATTGCCTAGGACTGGAGTTCCAGTTGATTGTGAGCTATCATGTGGATTCTTTGTATTGAACCCAGGTTATCTTTGAGTGCTTTAACCACTGAGCTAAATCTCTAACATTTATTTATTTATTTATTTATTTATTTATTTATTTCAAGGCTGGCTTCTCTATATAGTTCTGGAACTTACTCTTTCAGAACACTGACCTGGAACTCAGAGATCTGCCTGCCTCTGCCTTCCAAGTGCTGGTATTTGGGTCAAGTGCCACTGCCCAGCTCTGTATATTTTTAAGTCCTCATTTAAAGATAAAATACAATTCTCAATCTTCTTTCAGAAGATAACATATCTTAATTTTGTGGTTTAAGACTAATGTGCCAGGGAGAGGCTGTTGCCCAAACTTTTTTTTTTTCCTTGAGGCAAGGTCTCTGGCTGCCCCGAAACTCTGTGTAGACTAGGCTGACCTCACAAAGATATACCTGCCTCTGCCTCCCAAGGTCTGGGATCAAAGGTGTGTACCACCAGGCCCAGCTCAAAGTGCTTTCTATTTATTAACTTAATTACTTTGTGATGGTATTTCGAGGTGGTTTTTTTTTTTTTTTTTTACCTTCCTGTTATTGTAGATTGATTGAATTGAGTGTCTTGTGGATGTTAAGCAAGCACTCTTTTTTGGGGGGTGGGATTCTCTGTGGCTTTGGAGTCTGTCTGGGAACTCACTCTGTAGACCAGGCTGGCTTAAACGTGTGCGCCACCACTGAGCAAGCATTCTTATACTTAATTGTATCCCTAATGTTATTGAGACTAGGTCTCGCTAAGTTACCATTGCAGGCCTTGGACTGTGAACCTCCTGCTCTGCCGCCTCCTCCCAAGTAGCTATATTGTGTACAACATCGCGCCTTGCTGAGCAAATGTTTATTCCTTACTTTGTAGTTGAGAAAAATGAGGCTAAGACCTATTTGGCTAAATAAACAATTGAGGCCACAAAAGCCTAAGTGGACTGTCATTGTGGTTGACTTGCTGCCTTTAACTGTAGTGTGCATGTGTGTTTGTTGTGATCTTGTTGGTTGGTTGTGGGTTTTTGTTGTTGTGTTTTGTTTTGAGACTAGTCTCACTCTGTAGCCCTGGTTGGCCTGCAGTTTGCTGTGCAGGCATAGTTGGCATCAAATTCAACAGAGATCTGCCTGCTTCTGCCTCTCTAGTACATCTGACTTTAGTTTTGTTGTTGTTCTTGTTGTTTGGTTAGTTTTTGCAGTAATGAAAGTTGAACTGCCTGCCTTTAAACATGAAAGTTAAACTGTTGTAGCATTAAGGGGCAAGAGCCATTTTAAAGCATCCTAACCCCCACCCTCAAAAAAAAAAAATGGTTCACAGAAAAGGGAAGTTTAGGGTGGACAAGATAACTCAGGTAGCTGCTAAGCCTGATAGGACCTGAGCTTGATCCCTGGGATCTTGTGTGATTGTTAGAGAACCAACTCCAGTAAATTGTCCTTTGACCTCCACACACATGCTGTGTAATAAAAAAAAGAAAAAGTTAAGGCAAATTTGAGCTGGGGCAATGGCTCAGGGCATAAAGTACTTGCTTTACATGCATGAGGACTTGCATTTGTAACACCAGAACTCATGTGAAAGCATTTCTAGTCTGTTGTTCAGTGTTCATACAGGGAAATGGAAAACAGGAGAATCCCAGGAATCACTTGGACCTACTAGCCTGCATATGCAGCAAATGAGACTGTCTCACACAGTCAGAAGACATGACTGCCGTTGTGGATTGTCCTTGTAATGTCTAGTGCAGTGGCACCTGCTCACCTGCATTCACACACCACCACCACCACCACCACCACACACACACACACACACACACACACACACACACACACACACACACACACACAGAGAGAGAGAGAGAGAGAGAGAGAGAGAGATAGATATTTATTTGTAAAAGGGCACATTTGGGTTTGTGTCTTTTCATACAAATGGGAAGGAGGTTCTTGGTACACAGATAACAATAATTTTATAAGTCATTGTAATTTGGAATTTAGCATGTGGTTGTTTGTGCTGGAGATCTAACACTCCAGGTTAGTTTTAAATCAAACTGCTTGCTATTGAAGTCCGCCTCAAACAAAACTACCCACAGCCAAAGAATTAAAAAAAAAAAAAAAAAAAAAAAAGGTTCTATAAGAGAAGCTGACAAAAAAAAAAAATTGAAAAACCCAGCACTCGGGAGGCAGAGGCTCAAGGCTAGCCTGGTTTACAAGAGCTGGTTCCAGGACCGCCTCCAAAGCCACAGAGAAACCCGGTCTCAAAAAACCAGAGAGAGAGAGAGAGAGAAGCTGAACTTCTTTAACTTTAATTGTAAGGTCCTTTACCTAATATAAACTGAGTTTTATGAGTGATTTCAAATATACCGAAAGCTATAGGAAGGGGATCATTACATTATTTTCCTTTACTAGAGCAGTCAATCAACCCTTTACTGATTTACTTGGCAAACTAATTTTTCAGCAAAACATACATCGGAGTCAGTACTGTAAGTGCTGGATTCAGTGTATTGGTGGCTGGGGGGTATCAGGTAGACCATAAAGCATCATTCCCACAACCAAAGAGCTTCACAATTTGCCAGCTGAAGTATAAAAATACAGGATAACAGCATAGTTACATTTTCCTTTTCTTTCTGTTTTGGGGAAGGTGGGTTGACAGAG